AAGCTGCCTAATATGGATGCTGGGAACTGAGCCTGGTCCCTCCACATGAGCAGTAAACGCCCTTAACTGCTGAGCTATCTCTCCAGCCCCTTAAATAATTTATTAAAACTCTTTTAGATAGAAATGTTTCCAGAACTTTCCTGGCTAGGTAGGCTGTGAGCATTGGTTGACTATAGATCCTTCACTCTCCACCTACATAAGCATTTGTATGCGAACATGGACGTGCAACCCTGAATGTGTGTCTGTGCTGGTGTATGTATCCTAGGAGGACACGTGAGTGCGAAGACATCAATCCATGACTTGAAGGTTATAAGAAAAGAGAAAAGGAGATGTCAACTGCTGGCTGGAAACTCGGCAGCTGGCCTAGTAGACACTCTCCATCAGGGAAAACCTTCTGCCAAAATAATTGAGAATCTTGTAAAGATAACTTTCCCATGGAGCCAAAAAGAATGCTGGGCCAGAGAGACAAAAGACACGCATGGTAATCTTAACGGTCATTCATAAAACACCCTTTGTCTATTCAGGGAGACTTCTGTACTGAGCTCTGTGGGCCAAGGGGAAGAAAGAACAAGGAGGAATTTTTATCGAGTTACTCTTTCAGTGAACTGAGCTTTCTATGAAGGAATTGAAGCCAACTTCATTCATTCAGTACTTTTGCTTTTAAAGCAAAGCTTGTTTTAAGTTAAGAGATACCATATATGGAAAATGAATTTTCTGAATGGTTCCTGGAAACTTTTTAACAGTTGATAGTTTTTAAAAACTGAATTCAATCCAGGGGATAAAGTTTTTTTTGTTGCTGTTGTTTTAGTGTTCTATTATTATTGTGTTAATATTCTGTTAGCTTGTATTAACTGTACATGATAAATGTTTCATTATGACATTTTCATACATGTAGTAGTGTGTTCTGGCCATATTTACTCTTGCTGATCCCTTTCACAGTCCTTCTATAGTCTCTGTTCTTCTGTTCTCTCCCAAACTAATGAACTACCCCCTTTCTGATCCTCTCTGTCTCTCTCTGTCTCCCTCTCTCTCTCTCTCTCTCTCTCTCTCTCTCTCTCTCTCTCTCTCTCTCTCTCTCTCTCTCTCTCTCTCTCTGTGTGTGTGTGTGTGTGTGTGTGTGTGTGTTGTGAGACCCAGTGAGTTGCAACAGGTGGGGGTTTGCTTATGGGAGTGTGAGTACCTTACCAGTAGCTACATCACTGAAGAGATGACTGTGACTGTCCCACGGGATGCTTAGCTTTTAGGTAGGGATTGCTTGTCTGGAAAAAGGACATTAAACATCTGTCTACTCCACAGACATACTCCCTGCCCTCAGCCCACAGTAGCAAATGATCACAAGAGGAAGCCTGCCATTTGAATGCACTGAGTTTTTAAAGGTTTCGAGGCTTTTTCCTGAGTGTTTTTTAATTAAATTTATGAGTTTTTCTTTAATTAAATTTATTTATTTGACATCCCAACCGCAGTTTCCTGTCCCTCCTTTCCTCCTGTTCCTTTCCCCCATCTTCCCCTGCTTCTGTTAGAAAAGGACAGACCTCCTATAGGTATCAACAAAGCATGGCGTATCAAGTTGCAGTAAGACTAAGCACCTCCCCTGTATTAAGGCGGGACAAAGCAAAGCAGCCAAAGTGTTAGGGACAGCCTCTGCTCCCACTTTTAGGAATACCACAAGTAGACCAAGCTGCACAACTATCACATATATGTAGAGGGACTCAGTCAGTTCCATGCGGGCTCTATTGCTGGTGAGAGTGAAAAACTGTATAATCACTTTGGAAATCAATATGGTGGTTTCTCAGAAATTTGAGAACCAATGTACCTCAAGGCACAGTTTTTTTGTTGGTTTTGTTTTGGCTTTTTGGGTTTGCTGTTGTTTGTTTTGGTTTTTTTCTCTTTTTTTAAGGATTCATATCTTTAAGAATTCATATGCTAGGTAGTTCATCTGAAGCTATCCATCTGCAACAGGAAGGAGGCCAGCTTCAAAGAGAAGTCTCTGGAACAGAGCAGCATTCCTCCAGAGGCCTCCCACCCTGTTGGCCTCAGCAGTGGAGTTATGAGCAAATAGTTATTAGTCGTGCCTCTGGCTGGGCTCCCAGCAGAGGAGAAATAAAGTATAGAAGGAAGGACTGCTCATCAGAGCAGCATCCCAGACGTGGGCGACCGTCTACTCTTTAATGCCACCGGGCACTTTCCAGGCACCCCTCCCTCCTGTTCTCGTGATGCCTGCTTTTCTTTCACAACTGCATTTAGTTAGTCATGGCATTTCCAGAGCAGCTCCATCTAGGGAGGAAGCCGGCAGCCAGTGAGTCAGATTTGTAACTCGTGAAAGGGATTACATGAATTAAGAGCAGATGCCCTGGTGTAGTTAGTCTAGAGGCAGTTAGAGGATGGCACTCTCGTCTCGCACACCATTTGAGTCCATCTTATTTCCCATTGCTGTAACAAAATCCCCCAAACCATGAGATTTACGAAGAACAGATGTTTCTTCTCCCCATGGCTCTGAAGGCTGGGAAGTTCAATTGCATGGTGCCCGTCTCTGCTAGCACCTTCTTAAGGTCGTAGCTTTGCAGAAGACGTCACAGTAAGAGTGCATGTGTCAGGTCAGGTCTACCTTCCTCTTACTCACCCACCAGTCACCTCTTGAGGACCCCGTCCTGATGGCCTCATTCAGTCCTTACACACACCCCAACCACCCAAGCCCCGCAAGCCCTAGCCTCAAACACCATTGACCTATGAGTGTGGGGATTCAATTTCTACCCCTTGGGATCTGCGGAGGTAGATGCAAGCTGTGACACCCCACCACAGTGGAATTCTACCTGCTGCTGCCCCATCCCATCCACCAGTCCCCAGTCATTCATCCAAGTGCGAGTTCCAGCAAGTCAGGGTCAGAGCTGGGGAGGTGACTCGGTGGATAAGTCACTTGCCAATCACTTGCCGCGTGTCTCAGCTTGCCTCTCTGCTGTTATGAGAAACCGTCGACCGAAGTACAGTGTGGAGAGGAAAGGGTTTACATATTACAACCATCATCAAGGGATGCTTCAGGGCAGAAACCTAGAGGCTGCAACTCCACTGCTCCACTGCTTACTGGCTTGCTCTCCAAGGCCCACTTTCTCCCCCCCCCATCCTTTTCTCGTAAAACAGAGTTTCTGGGTGGTGGTGGCACACATCTTTAATCCCACTGCCACTTGGGAGGCAGAGGCAGGCATATCTTTGTGAGTTCCAGGGAAAAAAAAAGGCAGGGTCTCTCTGTGTAGCCCCTAGCTGGCCAGGAAGGCACTATAAGTCACTATGTAGGCCCAAGTCTGCCTTCTTATACAACCCAGGACTATCTGCCCAGGGGTAGCACCTTCCACAGTGTACTGGACTATACCACATCCATCTTTAACGAAGAAGATGCCCTATAGACATGCACAGGGACCAGTCTGGCAGAGGTAGTTCCTTCCCTGGATGACTCTACTTTATGTCAGATGGACAGAAACTAACTATCGTGTCATGCCAGCATGGCAATCTGAGTTTGAAGCCCCAGAGCCCACAGATGCAGTAGCACATATCTGTGGCTTTAGTGCGTCCACAAAGAGATGGAGACAGGAGAATCCACAACTCACAGGTCAGCTAGCTTGACATGTACAGTAGCAAACAGCAAGAGACCCTGTCTCAAACACTGTAGAAGCAGAGAACTGACAACTGAGGCTGCCCTCTGACCTCTACATACACACAGCACACCATATGTTTGCCTACACACTCACACACTTTCATATAAGCTAGGGAGGGCAGTGGGGTCAAATAAGTTTAGCTTTTGATACTAAGCATCCTCTTGGCATTTCAGCATCTTTAAGTGTACTGCCGACTCCATTTGTAATTTGGTGGTGCATGCATTTAATCCCAGCACTCAGAAGGCAGAGGCAGGTGGATCTCTGTGAGTTCAAGGTCAGCCTGGTCTCCACAATGAGTTTCAGGACAGCCAAGGATGTGTAGAGAAACCCTGTCTCAAAAAAGTTGAAATCAATCTATGAGGTCAGTGGGTTGGTGATATGAATTATCCAAGTGAGCAGCAATCTCAGTTAAATGGTTATGGAGATTAGGATCATTGTTGTTGTCTTAAATTTTATTACACCCTATTTTTTTTTTTTTTTTTTTTTTTTTTGGTTTTTCGAGACAGGGTTTCTCTGTATTGTTTTGGAGGCTCTCCTGGAACTCGCTTTGTAGACCAGGATGGCCTCGAACTCACAGAGACCCGCCTGCCTCTGCCTCCCCAGTGCTGTGATTAAAGGTGTGCGCCACCAACGCCCAGCTTACACCCTGTTTCTTTATTGGGGAGGGGCATGTGTTACGGCACACATGTGACCATCGGAGAACAACTTGCAAAATTTGGTCCTAGGTTTGAACTCAGATTACCAGGCTTAGCAGCAAGCACCTTTACCTTCTCAGCCATTTTGCCAGTCCTGTGATTTTTCTTTTGATTGATTAATTAATGTTTTGGTGCTGGGAATTGAGACCAGCACCTTGGGCAAACCAAGCATGTGCTCTACTGCTAGGCTACACCCCTAACCCTGAGATTTTGATTGTAAAAATCGAACAGACATTTATTTTGTTGGACACCGTAGGTTTGCACAGAACATGGAGCCAGGTATACTAAAAAAAAACTTTGTAAATGATTCTATGGAGTTTTTCTGGTCTACACAATACTCTGCCCAACTGAATGCATTAGTCGGGAAGACACTGGCTCTTTACTGGAAAGGGAAGAGTAGGCATGTACTTGTCCAGCTCTATCTGGCAGCTTCACCATGTGTCTCCGTTTTCCTTTGCATCTTAGTGGAGACAACCAGGCCATGGAGTATGTCAGAGGCACCCCAAGGACAGTGGTGTGGGCCCTGGTACTGTAACAGGTCAGAAAGGACCACACTGTACACAGTGCAAGAAACATAATTGGGTGTGGCTCTAGGTGACCAATTGCCTTCACCCACATTGTTTGAGTACTGCATCCCTGACTGGCCTTTCTTTTTCAGGGCTAGAAGATGATATTGTGACCCCAGGTGCAAGAGATGGCATGGTGACCCCAGGGCTAGAAGACAGAACCACAACCACAGGAGGACTGAATGAACCTACTGGCAAGGCACCTCTGGTGAGTGTCTAGGGAAAGGGGGAGTTGGCTCGAAAGGCAGGCTGTCACATGTCACAGTATGATGGATACTTACATATGAAATCAGCTGCTGTACAACAGAATAGTGGTGTGGCTCAGGACAGAAGGTACGTCTCATCCAGGGACACGGGAGCTGGTGTGGTGGGCACAGGCAATTTGAGAGCAGTAGACCATGTCGTCTCAAAGCAGTAAGAAATCAGCTGAAGCCAGGTCTAGTGGCACATGTGTTTAATTCCACTACCGGGTGGAGGGGTGGGCAGAGACAGGCAGATCTATGTAAATATGGGCCAGCCTGGTCTACATGGTGAGTTCCAGAACAGCCAGAGATACACAGTGAGGCTCTGTCACATAAATAAACACACAAACAAACAAACTAAAAAGGTCTAGATTCAGGGACATTTGGTAGGTCCTTGGGGAGGTGGGAGGGGTTCTCCCAGAGGAAGCATGAAAGCCCCAAGCCAGTTGCTCCACAATCTAACTCTGTGTATCTCTTCATCCAGATCATTTGCTCTGTCCTCAGTGATGAACAATGAAAACGTTAAAAAGCCAACATCGGGCTGGGGAAATGGCTCAGTTAGTAACATGCATGCCTTGCAAGCATGAGGACCTGAGTTCAATCCCTAGAACCCATGAAAAAGCCAGAGAGGATGGTACCCTCGCTCTGGAGATGCAGAGAAAGGAGGATCTCTAGGGTCTGCTGGCCAGCTAGTGTAGCCTAATAAGCATGCCCCAGGCCAGCGGTAGACCTGTCTCTTGAAACAACAAACACACATTCACACATGTCCACTGTGTAGATGGATTTTTTTTCTTTGAGCCAGCAGCTCACAAAAACTGACATGGAGACTTATTAATTATGAAAGCTTGGCCTAGAGTTTAGGATTATCCCACTAGCTCTTACAACTTAAATAAACCCATTTTTTATGAATCTACATTTTGTCTCATGGCTTTTTAACCTCTGTTCCATCTTGTACCTCCTGTGTCCTCTCAGTCTCCCGGTGTCCCTCTTGTGCCTGGATTCATCTCCTCTTCTTTTCTCTCTATCCAGAAGTCCCGCCTAACCTCTTCCTGCCTAGCTATTGGCCATTCAGCTCCTGATTAAACCAATCACAGTGACGCATCTTTACACAACATAAAGGAATATTCCACAACAGCCCACCCCCTCTCCTACATGCAGTTACAGCTAAAATCAGAAGCACTTCCTAGCCTCCGCTGTCACAGAATGTCTGTGAGGGATCTTTCCTGCAGGAAGTCAGCTCACAATGATGAAACCTTCAGCTTTGTTATTGAGTTTACTCTAAAAGTTGCCTGTGGTATACTGAGAATATTGAGAATGTATTTAAAGGGCCTGGTGCAAAGGAAACTGTCATGTCCCCCTTCACATAGTTCTGACAAATCGATGCTACGAGAGGAAAGCGCTATTCCAATTCTAGGGAGAGGAGATATAAGGTGTGTGTGAGCCAGGGTTTTGTTTTTTGTTTTTTTGTTTTTTGTTTTTTGTTTTTTTTAGGAACTAAGGGACAGGAACTATGCATGCTGAACATTTAAAAGTTTATTTCTGGGTTGAACCTGGTTTTACCCCATCTCTTTTTTTTTTTTTTTTTTTTTTTTTTTTTTTTGGTCAAGAACAGGGTTTTTCTGTGTAGCCCTAGCTGTCCTGGAACTCACTCTGTAGATTAGGCTGTCCTTGAACTCCCAGAGGTCCGCCTGCCCCCGGTTCCCAAGTAGTGGGATCAAAGGCGTGCGCCACCACTGCCCGGCCCCATCTCCACTCTTGTTTGTTTGTTTGTTTGCTTGTTTCCATCTGGGATTTATTCCTGTGTGTTTTGAATACATGCTACCTTGAAATATTTCCACTGTATGTTTTAAACCCGAGGCTTTATTTTCTCTCTTGCCTCGCTCACTCCTAACAGGTACCAACACACGCAAAGATTCCCTTTGAGGAACTGTCAACCCCAGGAGTCTCAGACCATGATGACAAAGAACATAAGAGTACAACCACTGTCAGAATGGTGACTAGTCACTCTTCGGACAAGGAAACAAGTCACCCCAACATAGGTGAGTCCACTCTTACAGAATCTATGAAACCCAGAAACAGAAGAGTCAGAGACTTGAGGGACTGAGAGTATAAATTCCATGCTGGTCTTTGTGTGCTGGGTACAGAATCCAATATCAACTTTAGTTTACTGGCTTTCTGGGAATATCTCTCAACCTTGAATAGTAACTAGTGGCAACTCCCTGCAAGGGCCTGTTGCACTGCTGACTCCGTGGTAAGAACCTTGTGTTAATGCATATTTCCAGGTCCAGTCACCAGTTTGGCTTTAAGAACTCTACAGTACTTCTAAGGATTTAAAAAGCGATCTTGCATCCAGGTGTGGTGGCACATGTCCATAATGCTCACGTTCTAAGGCACAAGGATGGCAAATTAGACACCAGCCTGGGCTACATAGTAAGAGTTCATTTGTCAAGACAAAATAATGGCATGGGACTACATGAGATGCTGCTTCAAGTACAAAACAAAACCTTTCACATTGGTTTGCCTGTGTACAGACCACTACCCACAATATTTAACACATGGAAGCAACTCAGTATTCACAAACAAGTGAATGGATAAGAAAATATAATACGTACGTACACACACACACACACACACACACACACACACACACACACACACACACACAGTGGAATATTGCTTATCCCTAAAAGAGAAATGGATGCGGACAGATGCTATAACATATGTGAGGCAAGTTTAGCCAGACAACAAGAACAATATGGTATGAGTCCACTTGCATAAGGTACCTAGAGGTGCTGAAATCAGACAAGTGTAGACAGCAGAATGGTGCCTTCTAGGAGCTAAGGGAGGGGTAAGTGAAGAGTTACCGTTTAGTGTGTGTAATGTCCCCACTTTGCACAATGGGAAGGATCCGTGTTTTGAGAATGTGGTTCAGTAGCAGAATGCTTGCCTAGCATGGCTGAGGTCTTGGGTCCGGGCCCTGGCGCGCGCGCACGCGCGCACACACACACACACAGAAGTTCAGTAAATGGATGGAAGTGATGGTTGTACATGACTGAGCTGCACCCTTAAAAAATTAATATTGGCCAGGCATGGTAGTACACAGCTTTAATCCCTGCACTCAGGAGGCAGAGGCAGATAGATCTCTGTGAGTGTGAGGGCAGTATGGTCTACAAAGTGAGTTCTAGGCGAACCGGGGCTGCACAGTGTGATCCTGTCTCAAAACAAAAATGTCATAACTTTCTTGTCATGTATATTTTGTTCCTATTGTTTTTGTCAAGTGGGGTGGGGGGCTTGTTTACATGCTTGGTTGGTTGGGAATTTTGGGGTTCTCTGGATCTAATCTAGCACCTTCCTCGTGGCTAGGCAAGTACTCTACCATTGAGCTACATCCTTCAAAGTACTTTGAAGTGAATGAAAATCTTGCTGCATGCTGTTAAGAAAATGCTAACATTAACTACCAGGCAGAGCCAAGTCAGCCTCAGCAAGGAAAGAATATGAATGTCAGAACAGACCTCAAAATTGTAGAGGATTTCTCTTATTCAATAGGAGTCAGCAGCCAATTAGCAGAAAACACAGCTTTCCCCATTTGTTGAGCATTCCTGCTATCGAGCCAGCTCTTGGGTGCTGGAAGCAAGCCTCAGTGTTTGAGAAGACTTGCTGTTTTGCAGAGGATCCTGGTTCAGCTCCCAGAAACCACATAACTGTAACCACCAGTTATTCCAGTTCCTGGAGATCCCGAACCCTTTTCTGGCCACTGCAGGCAAATGACGCACATTAACTCATGCAGGTGCACGTATGTGTGCATGTGAGTGCACAGACACACACATTATAAATAAACCTTTAAAATAAGAAATAGTTGGGCATAGTGGTATAACTTGTAATCCCAGCATGGAGAAGAGGAGGCAGAAAGATCAGGAGGTCAAGGTCAGCCTCAGCTGCATAGGGAGTTAGAATCTAGCCTGGGCTACAGTAGAAAGATGCCTAACTTCTACACCCTCTTCTGGCTATACCCTCTTCAGGGTCCATGTGTTCAGCTATCTAAAAGTTCTCCAAACTCTCCTTTCAGGTTTTTGTGGATATGGTATTGCAGATGTATGATTAAAGTATGGGCAGCCATGTCGAACTGTGATTGAGCAAGCAGTCTGATTTATGCTAACAGACTGGGCAGGGACCCAGTAGGCAGGCTGGCCTATTTCTACTCTCCTTGATCTCTCCGTACAGCATTCGTTTGCCCAGAGTCCAAGTATATGAGGCAGGACCCCTCTGGAATAAGGAAGGTCTTTAAACTTGCTGTGGCTCAGCTAGGAGGTGGCATACGCCTTTAACCTCAGCACTTGGGAGGCAGAGACAGGTAGATCTCTCTGAGTTCCAGGGCAGCCTGGTCTACAAAGTGAGTTCCAGGATAACCAAGGACGGCTACGCAAAGAAACCTTGTCTCCAAAAACCAAAACAAAACAAAACTTACTATGACACGAAAGGAGAGAGAGTTTCTTTGTGGCCTGTTCCAAGATAGAAAACCTGTGGGGTAGGGTTAGAGTTTGGATTAATCCTTGCCTCACTGCTGGCTCAAACTATCTGATGAGAAGCAGCTTAAGGGAGGAAGGGTTTGTTCCGATTTACAGGTCAAGGGGATGTGGTTCGTCATGGCAGGCAAGGCATGGAGGCAGGAGGGGTAGGATGCTAGCCACATTGCATCTGCAGGTAGGAGGCAGAGCGCAGACCGGAAATGGAGTAGGGTATACATCTCAAGCCTGCCCTTAGTAACCAACTTCCTCTAGCAAAGCCTTGTGCCCTAGAGATTTCACAACTTCCCTAATGATGCCACCGATGGGGGGAGGGGGAACGGGACAGGGATGGGACGGGACAGTGTCAGACTCAACAGCCTATTGGGGAGACTTCACATCTAAACCACTACATTTTCTTAGGACTTTTTTTTCCTCACATGTGCGGTGCTAAGTCTGAGATGCACTTGGCATGCTAGGATGCTAACTTAGCATTCTATCTCTGTCCCGTATCCTTAGCCTGTGAGTACAGCTTTGTTAGTCGGCCTTGGAAAAGAATTCTAGTTCATACGACTTGCTTCAGGAAGGGTGTTAAGAGCCAAGAACTATGAATGAAAGTCGCCCCCCCCACACACACCACACACAGCACATCATAGCCAGTTTTACTTTTGAAAACTGTTGAACCTCTAGGGCACTGGTTCTCAACCTTCCTAATGCTGTGACCCTTTAATACAGTTCCCCAAGTTGTGATGACCTCAACCACTAAATTATTTCATTGCTACTTCATAACTAATTTTGCTACTGCTATGAATTGTAATGTAAATATCTGATATTCGACCCCTTTGGGGTCGAGACCCACAGGTTGAGAACCTTTGCTCTAGGGTATTTTTGAAAGCTGTGAGCTAAGATTGTAGAGAAAGTCTGATCTTCCCATCTCTCCAGCTTCTCACCGGATGGTGGTCATCGTCTACAGCCGAGGCAAATAGCCACCCTCAACTCCACAGAATTAAGGGGCTCTGTGTAAAGTGACTAATGGGAGAGACTAAGTAAAGCACCTTTGTTCTGAAAGAGGGGTGTGGGAAACTATTCACGAGGAACTCAGGTGGAGAGTATGTGTTGTGGCTATCAGGCTGGACTAGAATGCTGCTGGAAACCCTCGCTAATGGGTGGGAGTCACAAAGGACCAGTTTTCATTCATCCTAGCAGGGCAGGCTGCTGCCCCATGATGTACAGATCTGACCACCAAAGAAGAGCAGAGGAATAGATAACAGATGACCCACAGCCCGGGCTACCTCTTCCCAAATGTACAGCCTGCTCTGAAAATGCTTAGATGACCTTACACTTCCTGGGTTTGCCAGGATCTTGATAACAGGTGAAGTAGCCACACCTGTATTCCTTTGCTCTCCCGGTATCTCAAAGTTCCCAACCATTCATTTCGCAGCTCTGTGGCTCGGTGGCCTTGACACTTAAAAGATAAAATCCAGTCAGTGGGTGCAAAGGTACAGAGAACCCGTAGGTGGGAAGTAACAGTCGCCAATTGACGATAAACGATAATCCTTACAAGGACAGCCATCTGTCAGAGCTGGCTTCCGAACTCTCTATCAGGTTTGTGGAGGAAATTGTCCTCCTTGCATTTGTTTTGTTACATTCCACTTAAGGTAAATTCATCTGCCAACTGTTAAATTATAGTCATTAGATCCTAATGATTCTCTATCATGCATTTTTCTCTTTCCAGATAACACAGCTGACGAAACACAGACAACAGATAAGAGAGGTAAATGAGAGTGTGGTCCTTTGGGAGCTGAAAAGAAAGTTTCTTTGAACCTAATTTTCGAGAAGCATCTTCCAAAAAAGATGATGTCTTTCCTCCTTCCTTTCATTCCTCCTCCCCCTCCCTCCTCTCTTCCTTGCTTTTTGAAGTGCTGGGGATTGAACCCAGCTCCTTATGCATACTAAATTGATTCTCTACCACTAAGTAACATCCCCAGCCCACTTTAACTTTTTTACTTTGAGACAGAATATCACTAAGTTTTGCCCAGGCTGGCCACTCTGTAGCCCAGGCTACAGAGATTGAATTTGCAATCCCCCTGCCTCATCTTCACAGATAGCAGGAGCATAGGACTGATCTGCAGGCCTGGTACCTTCAATTTTATAATTATTAAGAGAGAAAAGGAAATTCCATATATTTGAAAGGAAGTAGGACTAAAGGAATACTTCAGTTGTAAAGCGCTTTGATGGTATGGGACCCCATATGCATACACACAGACACTCTCTGTCCCCAGCCCACGAACACCTTTCTCTTCTCTGTCTCTCTCACATACATGCAACTCTCTCTCTCTCTGTCTCTCTCTCTGTCTCTGTCTCTGTCTCTCTCTCTCTCTCACGCACACACAGTGTATTTACTTAATGACAGCTGTGGAGAATGACAACACATCACAGTTTAGTGTTATTTTATTGTATTGAATAAGCCAGGCATCCTTGTACTTCATTGTTATGGAAATAATTTGAGGTTTTCCCACTTAAATGATGTTAGCTGTGGGTTTGTCATACAGAGCCTTTATTATGTTGACTAACCATATTGTCATTGACTAGCCATAAAAAAGCGTGCCCATCAAGAGTGAAGCCAGCGGGTTATGTGTGACAAATTCAGAGACTGAGAAGCCTCTTGGGATTAGATTGGAGCAGGGGCTGGAGCCTGGTGGCACCGTGCACACTCAAGACTGGGGTTTGCTCCCTGGCACCAAGAAGAGAAAAATGGCTTCTGCACTTGACTTGGGCTCAGCTGTATTTGGGAGATGAGCAGAGACCCCTCAGTGCTGAGCATGGCAGGGCAGTGCCATTGTTTGCATCTGTTAAACTCATGGTTCTTTTCCCTTCCATTCAGATGGCTTGGCAGTAGTGACCCTGGTTGGAATCATAGTTGGAGTCTTGCTAGCCATTGGCTTCGTTGGAGGGATCATCATTTTGGTTATGAGGAAAATTTCTGGAAGGTTCTCGTAAGTAACTTCTTATCCCATGTGATACGTGAACACAGGCAGTCCTGCTCACCACTCTAGAAACCTCTGCACATCTTCAGCACCCATCACCCCCACAGGTGCAGCCTCTGATATTTTCCAGGGACAGATGTCAGTGTTTCTAAAAACACACTCAAAGCCCGAAACTGACTTTCCTTGGAGGTCTGAGCAGATTGGATCTCTCATCTTATTTTTCCAACTACCCAAACTTGAAAGAAAATCCAAACCAAGTTTTAACTTGTTTCCTAATCTCCTTGTGCTGGGGGAAAGCACCTGTCACAGTGCCAGGCCCCCACTCTGATGAGTTGGAGTGTGTGTGTGAGTGTGTGAGTGTGTGTGTGTGTGTTGGGGGGGTCTTTTGTATTTCTATCGCTCCATCACACCTGTTGTGCACACCCTACAACCACACAGGTCAGGTCATTGCGTCTTCCTGACATTGGCTTTAGGAGGGAAGAGCCTTACTCCTGGCTTAGCTTCCTTCGCGATGCTCCAACTCAGCACCACAGAAAAACCAGAGAAATATGATGATGGGAGGGGAGGGGAGAGGATGAGTCATCTACGACTGGGAGGTACCCTGATAGACATCTGTCAATGCATCGTGTTTGGAAATGTCTGGACTCCTGACCCTGCCTTTGTAAGGATTAGGTGTGGAGGGGAATATCCTGGGAAGAGGGGCACAGGGTTCTGGGACAGAAACCACAGAACAGGACAATAGGCTCAGTGACTATGGGGCAGGTGGTGACTAGTCCCAACAACAGTAAAAGGAGTAATAAATAATTCTCTTTATTTTCACAGGCCCTAAGGAACTGAACAGATCAAGCTGTTCTCCCAACATATCTGAAAATAAGAGTGCTTCCAATTTCCCCTGCTCCCCATCCTCTGCTTGTGGAGGAAGATGACCCATGGGATGCCCCCTGCAGCCATGGTGACTCCTCCACTTGCCAGAGGTGCCAAAGGACAGACACGTGATAAGCCATGGCCCCTGGAGTCATATGCCTTTGGAAGATAGACATTTTTAATATAAGTTTTGTAATAAATGGTTCAAAAGACAACATGCGTAGAAAATGGAACAAAACTATGTAAACTGACTTGTAACCAAGACAGTATAATCAGTTGGCTATAGCTGATTTAAGAGGCAAAAGAGTCTGGAAATGTTTATTAAATCTGTGAAGTAGTTGGCTCCGGTGTTATGTCAGAGAAGCACGGGCCTTTTTGCAGTTACTGACCTGTTGATATGTACACAGTCCGGGCTGGTGGGGTCTGTGTTTAAATATGTTTGAGTCATAGAGTTGAAAATGTAAACTTAAAGTCAGGCATGATGAGCCACCCCTTATGGGAGTCTGGCTGGACCATTTCAGAAGCATTGATTGTGGCTTCACTTCCAGGAAGATACTTCGCTGTTTACAATTCTCTAAGCCATGATGCCTTCGTGGCCCAGAGGTCTGTCCCCTCCACTTCCATTGGGTAATAGAAAACCCAAGTTAAGGAGTCACGTCCTTACCTCCCTAGACCCAGATCTTCAGAGGATCTGCTTCTTTCTGGACTGTGGAGGTCTTATCCCAGATGCTGAGAAGGCTGTTGGATGTTGCAGGATGCCAGAGGCTCAGCAGCTATAGCCCCAAGAACGGAACTTGGTCCTTAAGCAAAGGAGACTCCTGAGCGCACTTTGGTGTAGGAAATAAACCGACCAGTTTCTAGCATCTGCCTTCTGCCACTGAGGAAAGTCAGGGAAAGCAAAAAGAAATCTCGTGCAATCTTAGTTGCTTTTATGCAGCTGGGATGTCAAGGTCTGGTTTTAAGATAATGACGCTTCCGGTCTTCATGGCATACCACATCTTGCCGTGGGTTCAATTGAAAAGGTCCCAGTAATGATCCACAGGGACATCCTGTCTCTACCACCCAGCTCGACACTTCTCTTCCTGTGGATGTATTGAGTTCTGCTGCACAGTATTGAACACTGGCCTGGCCAGATACTCTGAAGACTGTGATTATACGACCTTTACTCCTCTAGCCTAGGAGAGTCCACAAGATGGGGAGAAAAGTAAATCAATGTGGCTGTGTGTTGACCCGCCCAGCTGGCCCAGCAGGTTGCAGACTCACCCATCAGCTGGCTAAGAGAAGCAGATTAGAGGGGTCCTGTGAATGAAACATCTTCTATCCCATCAGTCAGATTCCAAACTGGAGTTAAGAATAATGCCCATTTCTTCTTTCTATCCTTTCCCTTCTCGCCTCCACCCCACCCCCTCACTGTGGAAAAATAACAGTCCAACCCAAGCTATACATGGGAGTTGGTGCCTGCTGGGACAGGGCTGTGTTTGTGTTGTCTTGTTCACCTGTGTTACTCTCAATACAGTGTAGAAATCTTTTCAAATAAAACATGATTGTGTACAAACATGAGTCCGACCTTTGGATAATTCCACCGAGTCTGGATGTCATCTCTGCTAATACTATAACACACATTGATTTGTTTGTTTATGGTTTTTTGAGACAGGGTTTCTCTGTGTAGCCCCTGCCTATCCTGGAACTTTCTTTGTAGACCAGGTTGGCCAGGAACTGCCACACAGCCACTAAGATTATACCTTTTATATCCAGCTGCCCATTGACTTAAGGGAGAAAGAGTATCCATGATCACGGGACGTTTATCCCTGGGAAAGAAAGGCAACCACAGCTTTCACCAATATCTACTGAAGTAGAGAGTCCAAGGCCAAGGAGAGAAATAGATGAAAAGTAGGTGACATCTTAGGTCTTTGAGCAATTTTATCTTGCTTTCAACACTCCAGGCCTCCCTAGGAACCTGACTTTGGATCCAGGGCTCAGAACAGAAGGTGATAGAAGGGAAGGCCCCACAGACCTGGGCAGTGATACCACCATACTGAACCCGCTTCTCACTTGTTCCCCTGCACGGGGGGGGGCTGGTTCCTCTGATATCCACTCATACTCACATCTGCACACAATAATAAATGAAGTCTTAAATCAATAAAAGAAATATAGCTTGGATATCACTTATTTCTAAAACACCTAGGATCTTTTTTTTTTAGTGTCCTCAGGTTTTATCCAGTTGGGGACTGTTGAGCTTGCTGGACATCAGGAATCCCAGCTGCCACCTAGGATCTTTTTTTTTTAGTGTCCTCAGGTTTTATCCAGTTGGGGACTGTTGAGCTTGCTGGACATCAGGAATCCCAGCTGCCAGGTTCCGAAGGGAAGACTGAGATTTTGGTCCACCCATTGCCATTTTTATAGATGCAACTCCATGGGCAGGCCATTTAACCTTTGAGGTTCATTTGTAACTACTTCTGGAGACAATGCAGAAAGGTCTTGTCTCATGGAAGACTAACCATGCCTTCTCCTCTCACGACCCCCCAAAGGGAAAGTGGACCCTCCAGTTTGTCTGGTGCACTTTTGTTTTCCATTGTAAACACTCCCAGGGGAGTGCTAGAAAGCAGCGGGTCTGCCAAGGACATGGAATGTTTAAGGAAATGACTTTGCTCCTCCATCCCAGACATGCGCATGTCTGTAACCTACCATTGTAGTAAGAGTCCATGAAAGCCCGAATAAAGGGAAGTCAGTATTTACTGGGGAATCTTATGATAACAAAGCAAGGCAGAGAACCACAGAGGTCTCCTGCCCTTAGGTGATGAATGCTGCCAGGATATAGCACCAAGGGGCTCAGTACCTCAACAAATCTGTGTACATGTGATCTGGTGCCTACAGAAACCAGAAGAGAGTGTTGAATCCCCTGGACTGAAGTTACAGGTGGTTGTGGGCCAACCAACGGAGGTGTCAGGAACTGAGCTCAAGTCTTCTGTAAAAGCAAAAGGTGTTCCTAACTGCTGAGCCACCTCCAGCACCTGCCACGCAACTGAAAAAAAAAAAATACACATTCAGCATCTTTCTTGTAAACTTGCTTCTAAGGTCTGAATTAACTGGACTTCCACAGCCAATAACTTCATAATGATCCTTTCTATTTCCCTTTATATGAATATCTGTGTGACTGTTTTTATATGAACTTATTTGGCTAAAACATGTTTATTATTTCTTTTCAAAATGATACAAATGTCTTATTTACATTCCATAAAATTCGTTTTGGGCTGGTAACTTAATATAATTACAACTCAGTGAAATTGAAGGACTGCATTTGTTTTTAAAGTATAATTTATCAAAAACTGGGAGAGATTTTCTTCCGTTTGGCAGGGGTTGTGTGAGTGTGTGTGTGTGAGAGAGAATTTGTGTGGTGTATACACACATGCTTGATGTGTGTGTGAATTTGTGTGGTATATACACATATGTTTGGCGTGTGTGTGTGTGTGTGTGTGTGTGTGTGTGTGTGTGTGTGTGCTTGCTGTGTGTGTGGTGCTGTGTGTGAATGTATATCAGGCATGGGAAACCTTCCTTCCATTTGTTGGTCAAGAGACTCCCAAAACAATACAGGATACTGACATTGCTCTAGTTGTCTCCTTTAATTTAAAAAAGCCCCTATTGTTAAAGATACCACACACTACAGACACAGGACATGGAGGAATCGAGCTGGGACTGATCTGGAAGCCTCCCTTCTCAGGACTAGCTCTCAGGGAATCAGAAAGAGCCATGCAAGCTGCCAAGGGAGAAAAGCAAACAGTCGCCCCACCCAGCTGTAAAACCTACAAACCACAGCACTGGCCTAGTGCCATAGCTCCAAAGACGCAGTAGTGGCACTTATGTTTGGGGTGTAACGAACGGCTATCTAACTTATCAAATTCATGCCTGGTACAGTAAATCTGGCTACAGAGGTCATAGACACTAAAGGAGGAAATACTGCTGCCCTATTCCTAAATCAATACAGCGTTCAACTGTGTTCTAAATAGTCACCCACATTCTCACAGATAGATTTTCTTCCAGGGATAAGTGTCCTGACAGGTTGTCTAATCCCAAGCGGTCAACCCTAAATAGTATATATAAACAACACTAAATGGACTCTCTAAGTTAGGTGTATAAATTTAACAATAGTAATTATAGAAGAAGAGGTCACAAATTTAAAAGGGAGGAGGGTAGAGCACAGGAGAATTTGGAGAGGCGAGAGAGGGTGGAAATAATGCAAATACAGTACTCATCTGAAATTAAACAAAACGAGCAAAAAATTCAGGGATTGTATCGGGCACCTGTAGTGTGGTACCACAAGCTAACTCTTGCATGGAGCCCCCAGAAGCTAGAGGTGACTAGACCTTTCTTCTGCCCCCTCTCGCTTGCAGGTGCGAATCCTCCGGAAATGGGAGAGAGAAAACTGTTGTTTCCACCCCACTCATTCTGTCCCAGCTGCCCTGGGAAGTCAACGCCCCTGTGAGTAACCCACCTCCAGGGAGGAAGCTCCCCACTCCTGTCCAGCCCATCTCAGATGGAAAGCAACCCTAACCTCTTCACTTTTGACCTTCAGCCATTCACCTGATGCTTCCAAACAATGGGCTGGCAGGCAATGTATTTCCTTTGTGACTGACAGATGTTGACTAGGCTTTGCCAGACTGTCATTCCAGTTTATTGTTAATGATGGAGGAATCCATGTTGAAAGACATATGGCCTAGAACAACAGGCATAGCCAACCCTGTAATGGGTAGGAGAATTCAGGGCAGACCAAACTGCACCAGCTTCTATACTTATCATCTTCCCTGGTCAAAGCTCAGTTTGAATGTATGATTCACGCCATGAAACATTCGCGTGTAAGCAAAATTCCAACACCTACTCAACAAGCACTCAACAGATAGTACCTGAGGTCCAATGACAAACGTGTTAGTGATGGGATGGCATTATTCTAATCAAAGTGTGTGGGACCCGTTGTTCTTTGGGTCTGGCTAACAGGGCAAGTTTCTCAGGGATGAGGACTTTCTTCATTCACAAATCCCTGAGCAGGCGAATTTGTAAAAGTGATTGTTGACTGCCTCAGGCCAAGGAGCTTACAGTTGAATGTAAATATGCACCCTGACTGGCAGACAGACAGGGAAAGAGGCCAAGGGTCAACAACCTGGCAACCTTCTAGCTTCTTCACTAAAAACCAAGTGCCACTGGCAGGGTCTCCCTTCCTCCTGATGGGCCACAATGTCCCAAAGGTCAACCCAGGAGAGTCTTAGCTCGCATAAAACAGATCCCTCTTCTTCGTCTAAGCTAGCCAATCCAGATCAAGAAGGGGAGACCAACCTTACACCAAAAGGCTCTTAAAAGACCCAGGCCCTCCAGATAGACTTGGCTTTGGGTTTCTGAATCCCTTGTCTACTTGTGGGGAGTCTGTCCATCTGTGTGTGTGCACGGGTGCTTCCTCCCTTTTAATAATAGTTTGTTGCCTTCTGTGCCTAAGGTACGTACTGCCTTTTAATGCCTTAATTGGCAGAGAAAACAAAGCCAATCAGGATGCCTAGACAGTTAAGGCAATGATCATCTGCACAAGTGGTTCTTGTTAGTATCAGGCATTATGCTGGCCTGCCCCTGTCACCTGGCAGAATGCACTCAGGCAGTACTCTGGTCAGCCCAGGGTTCCATGAGTACTAGTCTGCACCCAGTTGCAAAAGATCCCTTTAAAAGAAAGACCCCCCCCCCCCGCAAACTTACGCTCTTTTTCCAGCTCTGCTCTCTTTCTGGCTCTTCTCACGCTGCCACCCCCTCCCCCTTCTCTTTCTGTCCTTTTCCAGTTCTCTTCCTGCTCTCTCTTTCCCATTTTCCCCCGGAACACACAGGACTTTCCTGTCTCCCTCTTCTCTTCTGTCCTCTCTCTGTGTCTCTACCTCTTTTCTCTTCCCTTCCCCCTCCCCTTTCTAATACAACTTCTCACTTAAGCTCTGTCTGTCTGTGTTTGTCCCCTGCCTCTGCCACCCTCGCCTTCCAAGCTCTGTCTGCTAGGCAAGTTTGTCCCCCGCCTCTGTCACCCTTGCCTGCCATGGAATCCCATGGTCCCCACACAAGGACCTCCTTGAGCTTTATCCTAACAGCTCTAAAAGCCAAGAAGAACTGTCTTGCTGCCTTCCTCCCGGCTGGTTGGTCCCTACTGTCCGCAGTCTCTGGTGTTGCCTGGTGCCGGGAGCCCACCCTCAACCAGGTGCCGGGAGCCCCCCCTCAGTAGGTTGCCAATGGATCCTGCTAAAGGGAGAGTTAAGTAGAGAGAGCTCAGAGTCGGGCAGACTCGAGTGCCGCTTATGTACGGTGCATTTCCTGTCTGTAAAATAGAAATACTGTCACAGTCCAGCTCGGAAGACCACACCTGGAACAAGTAGACAGTGCTTGTGACTGTATTCTATTTGAAGCCAGGTGCCTCAGCTTTTAGCCTCTGGCTCTGCTGCTGCCTCAGCGTCACTTCCTAAAGTCCTCTCCACCGCTCCCTCCAGATAAGGCTCCGAGGCATCAACACACCCTGCATCTTCACAGCTACTGTCACTA